CCCCTTTGTATAGTCAGCTCAAGCTGCCATAATGAAACACCATAGACCCGGTGACTTAAACAATACAAACTCATTTTCTCAGGGTTCTGGTGGCTGGAAGTCTGAGAGTCTAGAACGGCCAGGTTCTAGTGTGGACTCTCTTCCTGGCTTGTATAGCTGTCTTCTCATCACATCTTCGCAGAGCCTTTTTTCAGTGTGTGCTCGCAGAGAGAGAGAGAGACAGAAAGAGAAATTTCTCTCTTCCTCTTCTTTTTTCTTGGCTTTTTAAACTTTTTAAAAAAAAATTTGCAGGGAGGTAGTTAGGCTTATTTATTTACTTACTTATTTATTAATGGAGGTACTGGGGTTGAACCCAGGTCCTCATGCTCACCAAGCATTCACTCTTATCACTGAGCTACACCCCTCCCCACTTCCTCTTCCTGTAAGTGTACTAATTCCATCATCTGAGCCCCATCCTCTAGACTTAATCTAATCCTAATTCCTCCCAAAGACCCATCTCTAAATATTGTCACCTGGGTGGGTAGGGAGGGGCTTCAATATATGAACAGTAAGGGGGAACAAACACAGCCTCTAACACTCTCATCCAGTTTTAAGTTATCTTCCATGTTTCATCAGAACTTTAAATTACTGCAAAAGATATCATTTCAATTGTATCTGTAAATGTTGACTTTTATAATAAAACTACTAAACCACTCTTTTAAATGTATCCAATGTAATACAATTTGGAAAGCACCGTCATTGATTTAAAAATTTCTTGAGACTATTTCTCATTAGGTTGGAAATTTTCTATCATTTTTTTTCTCTTTTTTGCAAAGCTGTACTTCCATTCTATCTCAATACACTATACCTTTATGTTCAAAAGTAGTTAATTACTTTATCCTACTTCTCTGGAATACAGACTTTGTGTATACATTGAAATTTAATTTTTTACATTTTCCTCCAAGTGTTAAAAAAAATCCCTCCAGGATAACTGTAATTTATAAACAAAAAACACACATTATAAATTTTGACAAATTGTTATTAAGCACAAGATAACCTGATTGGAAATGCATCCTTAATAAGATGCGCTTGGGGGGTGAGACATTGACTTGAAGAAAGGGGGTTTCCCTCTTATGACGTTTGCATTCTCCCCCCAGAGATGCTAACAGCTGGCCCAGCGCTCCTAGTGACATCTTGGCACTGGTTAAGCCAGAGGCGGCCCACAGTGCGGGAAAAACGGAACACCAGGCCTGCACCACGGTGGGCTCTCCTGGCTTTAGGAAAGAGCTGATGTTCTGAAAAGTGATTCCCCCTAAATTATATGTGCCTCAGAACCCCTTGGCAAATCTTCAAATTTCCCCATAAGCATGCATTTCTGTTTGAAGGAACCTGCCTTCCTTCAGCTCTTCCAGTGTGGGAGTTGGGGACGTCCTGTAGGCCGCTGGATGTACCTAACACCTCATGCTGGAATATCGGTATTGTTAGAAGGAAAAGCTTGTGACATTCTCTGCTGTCTGGAGAAGCTGATATTAAAGTTTTAAAGCAAGAATTCGCTTTCATCAAATATGCGTGGGTCACGAAGAATACCTGCCCATAGGTGAGCTCCTGGGTAGGTGGTGCAGAGGCCGGAAGGGGGAGTGTGGATGGGCGGGCAGGCAAGCAATCCAGGCCTCTGGGACAAGCCCCCTCCAATACACCCCTCTTCATTGGCTGCTCTGCAGACCCAATCTTTAAAAGCAGGCTTGCACCTCTCTGAGCTCCAGACAAGATTGCTTTCCATCTCCTTACCCCAAGTTGAAGTTCTCACGGGCTGGTAAATGCAGGGAGCTTATTTGCAAGCCAGGGCCATATCTGCCTAGCAACCCAACACGAAGACCAGAAGGGCTCTAAACGTCGACAGAGAACAGGCCAACTTTGCACAAAGGAATCTGTTCTCATGCAAATGACTTGAAGCAAGAGGGCTAGGAAAGAGAGAGCAGTGGGGAGAGCTCTCAGGAGCCAACGTATTTACAGAGAAGATGTTGGGGGACTTTCTAAGGGCATCATTATAGCCTTGCCCTCTGTAAACCACGGGCCAGAGGGGTCTGCTGCCACTTGGGTTGTGACAGACACAGCAGAAGAGGCTAAGAGGGGCGCCAGACCCTTAACTGAATTTCCTGATTTTTCTGGTTCTGTACTCCAGACTCCAAAGGTCCTTTTGTTTGCATTTAGAACTAAACAGAGTTAGTTTTGTTTAGAGGGTAGTGGGGGTTGATTAGCATGGTAAGGTCGTGCTTTCCTCCCTTGCTCTCCCTCGAGGAGTGAAAAAAGCAGGGGTTTTCACGCTTGGTCTCACTAGCATTGAGGGAATAAGGTGAAGCCGGCCACTAACCAGGGCGGGCAAAAGTCACTGGTGTGTGGCTACAAGACTGGACAGAGGTTGAGTTTCCAGACACCTCTTTGTCGTCCAATGCGGGTAGCCAATGTCATCTTTGGATGAGCTCTAGCTGCAAAAAAAAAAAAGCCAGTGTGTCTAAACCTTCGGGGGGATCCCACCAGGGCTCTGTGCCAAAACTTTTCTCATCTGTGAAATGGGGATGAGCATCAACTGAAGAAGGTTGCTGATGGGGTTAAAATTAGATCCCATGAATGGTACCTAATATAGTGTTGGGAACAAGCCAAAAGTGCAAAAAACTAATAATAGGTATAATTAATATTAATAGAAACAGATTTATTATTATTATTATTATTATTATTATTATTATTATTATTATTAGTTATGCCCCCCAGCAGCCAGTCATATCACTTGGTCAAATACTCAGATGTCACTTCCCCAATCATTCATTCACCCCTAGGGCTTTTTGCATTATTTGTCTAATTTTTAAAACCAAGCAGCTGAAGCACCAAGATCTTCTGTGACTGGCTTAGAATCCCTCAGCTATAAATAATGGGCTACACTCCTAAGTTCCTAAGCAGGACACAGTACAGTATGTGCTGTGTCATTTTAAATATGGCATTTCCATCCAAGTGCAGTGACAGGTCCTAACGCAGGATAAAATCCTAAATATCAAAGATTACATTTACAGTCCCTCCTATGTTAGCATTAAGTGTTTTCATCCTACGTGCGAATTCTTCGAAGAACAGCTCGAAAAGGATCGCGTGCAGGTGCGGGCTGGAGTCAGCTACCAGACTTGATCAACCATGAACGGCAGTGATGTTAAGAGCTACTGGCTAGTGAGGTCTTACCATATGCCAGTCACTGTTGATCCGTGCTTCACTGGCATCATAAATTAAACCCTTCGTTTCTGGGAATACCACGATTGTCCCCCTTTTATAGATTTGGAAGTTGACGCTCCAAGAAATTAGGTTACTCCAGCGAGGTTGCAAAGCTCATCAGTGGTCCCCGCTGTATAGTGCTGGTGTCAACAAGGCACTTCGAGCCAACATACCTGCCCCCCACCTAACCCACGCCAGAGCTTGTTAACGGCACAGGATGGCATTTAACCCAGTCGGTAGACCCTATTCCAAAATTGTAAGAGAAATCAGGAGCGACTGCAAAGGGATTTTTTTAATTAAAATTCAAATCGCCGATTCCTCCCGGTGGCAACCCTCCGTACAGCACTCCCAAACCAGGCTCGCTCGAGTTTCTGACATGAGAAACACACTCTCCAAACCCCAACGAAGGGAGCCGCCAGTGCCAAAGTCCGCAGAGGAATGTGGAGAATGAGGCCTCTGCTTCCGAGCAGGTCTCAGATAGGCCCTGGGGATGTGAGGTGGAGACCAGGAAGCCAACTCTGCGCCCCGCAGGCTCCGAAATGCCTGGGACCTAACACACTGCTTTGTCCCGAGCTCGTAAGTGAGGTTTCCCGCACATCATCTGCTGAGTTTACCATAATCTTGGGGTCGAGGACCTCGGTATGAGGGGCATTGTACCCCCACAGCATCAGGGTCCCTCCCCTACCTGCGCTCCCTGCGAGTTAGGCATCCATGCACCTGTATGGACGTCGCCTCCCGCCAGGCGGGGAGGATGCGCGCGCGCCCCGGGCCGGGGATGCTGACTCAGCCCGGCTGCTCAAACACATCCCTTTCGCACAACGCGATGCTGTTGCTGCTGCTCCTGCTGCTGCTGCAGCAGCAGAGGGGGGAAAGCAAAGTCCCCGTGGCAGCCGGGCCGCCAGCTCCCTGGGGCCCACTGCGGCACTCCACCCCCAGCCAAGGGGAACCGTGGGGGTGCGCGAGTTGACGAAATCGGGGGAAGTGGGCGCAGGAGGAGGAACTAGGGGTCCGCGGAGCCGCGCGCGCAGCTCACACCCAAACTGGAAGGAACCTGTTCTGCCCGGGGCGGGCGCAGAGCTGCCGCAGCCGGGAGCCCAAACCCTCCGGGCGCGGGCGGGGCTGGGAGGGTCGCATGGGGGGCTGCGGGAAGGGAGGAGGCCCCGGAGCCCCGAGCGCTCCCGGCCGGAGGTGCCCGCAGAGTGGGTGCCGGCGCTCCCGGCTTACAGTGCAGCGGAGCGCCGGGGTCTGGTCTGGCCAGGCGCGCAGAGCCGCGCCCGGCTGGAGACGCCTGGGGGCCGCATGCCTGGGACCCCGGCGACAAGGGCGGAGGTGGCCCCGCGGGACCCCGCGTCGGATCGGGGACAGTGACGCCGTTACCTTCCGTGACCCCCAGCCCCGGCCCTGGGCGGGCGCGCTCCCGACACGGCCCCGTCCACGTGGGCCGGCGCGCGCGCGCCAGGCCGGCCCCCCTCCTTGGCGGCGCTCCGCGCT